GAGGGCAGAGACACAGAGCCCACATTGTGCCCCCACACCACCCCACCCCCGCCCGGGACAGAGCCCCATTCACCTCCGCACGCCAGTGCTCTGGGGACAGGGAGGGAACCGGAGTGTGCACGCGTGGGTGTGCGTGCGCTCTGACGGTGCCTGCGAACCGCTGCTAGTGCCGCTTAGGGTGGGCTGCTGAGCCGCCTCGGCCCTAGCTCTTCCCGGCCTCCTGCAGCGAGTTTCCGCGCCCACGCCGCTGCAGCGGCTCCGGCTATTTATAGACCTTCGCTGCGGAGACCGAGGTGGGACCGCGCGGGCGGGGGAGTGGAGGGCAATGATGGGGGCCCTGGAGACAGCTTGGAGGTAGAATGTTTGTGTCCAGGGTGCGGTGGGTCCTCTCTGAGGGAAGACGGTCAGTGTGCCGGTGGCTTCCGTGCTGCTGTGACCATTAGAACGTGCTCTGACTTGAAGTGGCTGGAGGTGCGGGCAGTGTCCACGGGAAGGTCATAGCCTCCCCCATTTGACAGGGTTCAGGATGAAGGATGGGGTTAATATCCTGTGATGGGTGGGGAGTGTGTGTTTGGGTGACTAAAGGAGGGACTGGCCGTCGGCCTGAAGAGGACTGGTCAGTGTCTTGGTGACAGAGAGGTGGGGTCCCCGTGTGGGTGTCCACGATGTGCTAGGGGAGTGAGGTCAGTTGTGGGTGGGATGGAAGGGAGGTCACTATAGAGTGTCCTCTCTCTCCCACAGCGTGATCCACCTTCTACTCTCTTCAGGAGACCATGTCAGGCGAGGGCCCTGAGGTCCGGGCAGTGACCGAGGATGGCTCCAATGGAAGCAGCGGCTCCCCCAGCCCCGGGGACACGCTTCCCTGGAATTTGGGGAAGACACAACGAAGCCGGCGAAGTGGGGCTGGATCTGGAGGCAACGGGAGCGTCCTGGATCCTGCCGATCGGGCAGTCATCCGCATTGCAGGTGAGGGTGAGGGGCCTCGGCTGTCCACCTTGTTGGCTGAGCACCTGCCTTGGACTGGGTGCTGGTGTTTGAGCAGTCTGAAGGCCTCTCCTGTCCCAGGTGAGCGCAGACCAGCACAGCGCCACCTGCTGGCCACAGGGTCCGCTGTGCTGCACGAGTCCTGGGGAGGGGCTTCCTGAGTTGTGGACCAGATTGTGGGCAAGCAAGCGTTCACTCACAGCCTTAGGACAAAGGTCCATTGCCTAGATCAGGCGATCACAACTTTGCAGACTTCTTGGGTCCCTGCAGACCCTAGTGTTGGCTGCTACCATAGGGGTGAGGTGGACAGGAGATGGACGTGCCTGGCCAGTCAGCCTCTTTGAGCCTGCCCTACTGTAGCTGCTAGTCTGAGGAGGTGGAAAATGGGAACCAGAGAGGGACCTGTGAGTGGTCCCAGCAGCTGAAGGGCTAGGTCCCTGGAGGCAGTAGGACTTGGGCCCTGCCCTTGAGCTTTGTAAAATTCCTGAGCTGGGCTGGGAAGCACCACACTGAACCCCATTTAGTCCTCGTGCTCATTAACCCCACTGGACCCACTAGGACCCCCAAAGGGTGCTGAGGAGGGGGCCAGGATGGGAGACTGAGTCACATCAAGGGATGAAAGTGAGGAGAGGTGCTGGGGCAGTTCTGTGTTGGTGGTAGCAACCCTGTACAGGGTTTCCAAGGCTGGAAATCTTTACAGGAGCAGAAAGCCTCAAGGTTCTCCTGTGGAGAGGCTGGTGGATTCGAACTGCTGATCTTGCAGTTAGCAGCCTAACACCTAACCCACTATGCCACTGGGGCCTCCTTCCACAGAGAATAAAAAGGAACAAATAAATACCTCATGTGCCAACCCCTTGTCCAGGGGCTGGGGTTGACATTTTGCCTGACCTTCCAGCCTTCCTTACGTATCACATATGGAACGTCAAGAATGGGATCTATTTTTCCCACTTGAAAAAGAATCTGCAATGTCCTTCCCGGGCTCTGAACCTTCTCCGTTCAGTGTCATCCTTAAAGATGGGAGGGAGAGGACCACAGGGCACTCGGCAGTCCTTGTCTCTGGCACGGGTTGTTTTTCAGTATCATTAAAGGTGCTGTGTAGTTAGGATGACCTCCTTAGGTTAGGTTTCTAGAAGGGGATTCCCAGGTCACAGAAAGCTTCGCAGCACGTGAGTTTAGAGGAGCGTTGTCAGGGGCGGTCTGGGAAAGATGCCCAGGTGTGGGAGGGACGTTTTGCCAGTATGATGGGGAAAATCAATTTTCTCTTATTTGTTCTCAGTCATTTGCATTTATTCCCTGTGACTTACCTCTTCTAGTCCTCTGTGGTCACTTTGTTCCTGTTGGGTTTTAGAGCGCTCTGTATACGGAAGATAACTGTTCTCTCTCGCTCTGGGATGTTGCAATGACCTGTTGCATCTAAGTAGAGGGGAGGGAGTGGACCTCAGAGACTAGCTGTCGGTGGGAGGAGAAAAGAGGGCCGCGCCAGATGAGGAGGGAGAGGAGAGGTTCAGATTGCCTGGGAAGGAGCCGCTGGGGCTGGAACCCGGGGCGCGGAGGATCCCGGCTGCGAGCGGCCGGCGACTCGGTCAGGAGCCAGGACTTGTGTGGAACTGAGACTCGGAGTGGGTGCGGACAGCCAGAGCGCACCCAGTGGTACCGACGCGGGGAGGCGCCGGGACACCGGGCTGAGCAACTCCAGGCCGGATGGGCCTCGCCCCCCGGCCCCGCCCCGCCCTGGGGCATCCTGGGTGCGGGGCGGGGCCGGGGCGGCCCCTTTAAGCGGCGTGCGCGGCCTCGGGGACAGACGGCCGCCAGGGGCTGGAGGCCCGCACTTGCCGACCCGCTTCCCGCGCCGCACACCCCGTGCCATGGCCGCCCCCTTGCCTTCTGGCCCGCCACCCGACGAGTTGGACTTCATCCAAGCCTACGAGGAGGTGCGGGAGAAGTACAAAGGTACGGCCGCCGCCACCCCGCCCACCTTACGGCTCGCTGCCCGCTGGACTGGCCTGGCAGGCTGTGCCACCTGACCGCCGGGCCACTGACCACCTAGGCCGCGGTGGCCGGCCAGAGCACAGCCTCAAACAGCCCCGCCGCCTGGCTTGCCTCTTGCCGTCACCGACGCCCAGAGAAGGAGCGGGCGCGCTCCACGGAGCCCCCGAGACTATGCCCTTAATAGGACATCGCGCTGTGCGGGTGGGTGGGGTGGGCCGCGCGGGGCGGGGGCACACGGCTGGCTCGTCGGGGTCCAGGGCCGCTGTCAGATGTCCGAGCTCAGCAGACACGTGGGTCAGGACTGAGCCCTCCCCTGCCCCAGGGCCAGCGCCTCCATGGGGCCGGGACGGCTGCGGCTGTCTGGCAGCGTGTGGCATAGTTGCCATCTCTCCTCACCGACCCAAACTGTCGGCCGTCTGCTGCCGCCACCCTTCCTTGGCAGGGATTCCCTCTGCACCCATTCTTGGGGGCCCCTGGGGACAGCTGTTGAGTGTCAGGGGAGTCGGGGCAGCACTCTTTCTCTCCAGAGGGACATCAGAGTGTCTGCTGTGTCCAGTTTTGGCAGACCCCCTTCCCTTGAAACACTGGGTCTCTCTGGCTCTGCTGGATATCAGGAGTAGGGCTTGGTGGCTGAGCTCTCAAGATGTGTGGTGTAGCTGGCAGGGTCCCCAAGGGCAGCTCAGGGAGAGGTGCTGCTGGTGGAAACCTCAGCTGGCTGACCTCATCAGGGCCGCTTCCTGGTGGCCCAGGCAATCCTTACAGACAGCGTTTACCAGGTTCCGGAGGGCAGAGGAGCCAACACAAGGCTGTAACTGACCTGTGTGTCCCCAGGGACAGTTGAGCCAGGTCGGGAGGAGGCATT